GATTAATGATATGTTCAGCATGAGGATAAAGTCTTTCTCATCTTTAGACAAAGGGGAAGCCAGTTCTTTAGAACACGATCTTAATAGCACCTTTAATTTTACACAAAATATTATAAAACCATGGAATTTTGTCTTGGATGATTACAATCTATTCTTAGATCTTGAAGTTGATTTTGCGAAAAACAATGATATTTTAATGAACCTCAAATACCATTTCCAATAACCAAGCCGTACATTTAACCACTAATGATTTTTCTCGAAATACTTTTAACCATCATTGGCTTTGCACTTCTAGTAAAGGGAGCTGACTTATTTGTCAATGGTGCAATTCATGTAGCTATCAAGTTCAATCTTGGTGTTGGCTTTATTGGAATCACCCTTGTAGCATTCGGTACCTCCATTCCCGAACTTTTCGTCAACATCCTAGCAGCAAGAGACAACCTTAATGATGCTTCAATAGGCAATATTCTTGGAAGCAATGTGTTCAACTTACTTCTAATTTTAGGAGTGCAAGTAACTTTAAGTCCAATTAAGAACATTACTCGATTGACCATTTTTGAAGAGATACCTTTTTCTCTGTTCATTCTTTTCGTCTTTTTTTTCTTTGTCAGTGATAATTTTGTTATTAGTTTTTTCAATCAATCAAAGATTAATCAACTTATTCATTATGAAGGAGCCATATTATTAATAATGGTTTTTCTTTTCCTCTACCGCCTTTACACCAAGAATACTCTTGACAAACCTGAAGTTGAAGAAGCCTCTGCAAGCAATCTTCGGATAGGGGTTTACATCGTAACAGGCATATTAGGGCTTTACTTGGGTTCGGAATTAGTGATCAAAAATTCAGTTTTGATTGCAGAACGACTTGGTTTAAGCGAGGCATTTATCGGAGTTTTTATTCTTGCCGTAGGTACTTCCTTACCCGAATTAATCACCTGCATAGTAGCAATCGCCAAGAAACATCCTGACTTGGCTTTAGGTAATGTTATAGGTTCTAATATCATGAATGTTGGTTTCGTATTGGGAATTGTTTCACTGTTTAAACCTATTAACTATAATCAAGATTTTAATTTTTCCGTCGCCATTGTTACTATCGCAACTTTGTTTGTTTTTTTTGTTTTAGTGATAAAAAAAGAAAAAAAATTGAGTAGATGGGCTGGAATTCTTTTGTTATTGGGTTATGTTTCTTATTCCCTTTATTCCTTTTTCAATTTGTGAATCCCTCAATTATTGTAAAAAAAATTTCAACTTCTCCAATTCGTTACGGTCTGTATTTAGATCATGTTTTACAATTCACTTTTGATTACATAGTCCACAAGGAATTTTTCAAATCGGGTGAATGCATTAGCTACCATTCCGATCAAATAAAACAAATTGCTCAACGAGCTGAGGAATCGACAAAAAACGAGATGCTTCATTTTTTGTCCAAGCAGGAGACATCTCCAAAAAAATTACGGGAATGGTTTCAAAAAAGAAAAATACAATCTCAACAGATGGACAAATATGTCAAACTGGCTTTGGAAAACAACTTTTTCAACCCATCAAGATTTGTTGAATATTTCATTGAAAGAAGGTATCATCAAGGCACCCGTCCTTGGTTCTTTGTTAAGAAGGAACTTTTCTACCACCTTGGCAGTTATAAAGAAGATGAAACGGTAAAGGAACTAGTTGAGATGAAAAAGTTTGATGATTTGGAGATGTTAAAAAACCAATACCCAATTAACAGTCAAGACAAGCAATTCGGAAAAACTGAAAAACTTCTCAAAAGTAGAGGATTTCACCCCGTGGTCATCCATGCGTTTCTGAATTATTTAAAGGATCTATAAAACAAGGCGGTAGGTATAAACAGATGAATTGGAATGAACGGTAAAATTAATATTTTTACTTTCCTCTTTCTCTTGTAGTTCGATATAGCTTAAAAAGTCATCGATAAATTCTTTTTTAAGAAAAACCTCTACTCCATTCTTAACAATTCTAACCAACCTAACTTCTCTTTTAAGTTCTCCATTAACGGCAATCATCCACCAGCCATTAATGGCGTAAACCAATGTTTTTTCAATATTACCAAACTCCGACAGGTTAAATAAAAAAACTTCTTTCACTTCCCCTGTAGCAAGTTCTAAAACAAAAAGTTGGTTGCCTCTTTGATCAAAGAGAAAGCCATTTCCTTCGTCAATGAAAATATTAACCCGGGTTCGTCTTTCTTGTTGGGTATTCCCATCCCAAATGGTTTTTCCTTGGGCATCCAGCAAAGTAATTTTTTCTGGATAAAGCCCACTTACAACGGCAATCGAATTGCTGGAAGGAGAGCACTCTACTGTTTTGACATAATTGAATTGACTACCAAGGAAATTCTTTTTGAAAAGGAGTTTGCCTTCAAAATCATAAGCATAGACATCTCCATCCATAGTCGAAATAACGATAGTATCATTGAGTTCGCAAAAATCGTAATGAGTGATTAAACTCCCAAGATAATTTTGAGAAAGGATTTCATTCCGGTTGTTATCATAAATGGAAATGGTACTGTGATCACTGCTGAATAAAACGATGTTTCCTCTGAATGGACTTATTGAAGGAAAAGCGTATGTATCCAATGACCATTGTTTCTCTCCACGATTGTCGTACAAGTCAATAAGGTTCCCCCCCTTGGTGTAAATCATATACGAATCTGTTTTAATGGTGAGCATGGTGTGTGGATCAAGGTTAACTTGATGAAGTGCAATCCCATCTCGATTGAGATAAACGAGAGATTTCTTATTAAAAAAAAAGTTGCGATTGAAATTTTCACGACCATCATCATTTTGATTTTTAAAGATTTTTTTCTTCTCTAAGTCGTGATACCAACTGGGAATTAACTGATGAGCATTATTGAATTTACTGTTACCATGAAAAAACAATAGAAGGATTGGATAGAAAAGAACCAATGCAATTAAAAGTTTATATAAAGTGACCATTGATTAAATTTTATAATACTTTTTGTCTAAAGTAATTGAAGTTGTTTTTGAATTTAAGGTAATGTCATATAAATAACATCATTATGAATAAAAAATAAAGGAAGCACCTAATAATATTCAATCTAAATTTTCTATTCTGAAAATTTCGGTATTTCAATTAATCATGCAAATAATTAATCTATCTATCGGCTTAACAATGTTTCAACATTCAATAGAAAAAAGATAGAATGAAAAGAATAAATGACATTAAAAAAATACATTAAGAAATTAAAGGTAATTATATATAAAATAAACTCAAATTAAAAAACTACAATTTAATAAAAATACTTGACAAACCCAAAGTATAGATGTAAAATTTTTAGGTGGAGCAGAAAAATTTCAAATTTATAGATGTGCTGATTCTAAGTATAAATTTGTGAGTCATAATTTTAATGAATCTGATTTAGTTAACTTATACCCAAACTATTATCCTATATCAAGCTTTGATGTTAATAATTATTAACTGGCAAGATATAAAAAAATAAAAAAGCATTTTTTTAAAATTTTTTTCAGTTATTATTCGCCTGTCACATAAATTAAAGTTTTTTCATATTCTTACTAGGCTATTTGATAGTTTGGGTCTTGGAGATAATATGATTATTATCTTAGAGAAAAAATGATATATATTATATTACCAGTACACAATAGAAAAAATATCACTCAATTATTTATAGAGTGCTTAAAACTACAAACTTATAAAGATTTTCAACTTATACTTGTAGATGATGGATCTACTGATGGAACAGAAGAAATGGTTTTAAATTACCTCCCAAATAGCATTATTTTGAAAGGCGATGGAAATCTTTGGTGGGGAGGAAGTCTTGATACCGCCTATCTTTGGATTAAAGAAAATGTTAATACAGGAAATATACTACTGATTAATGACGATTCGACCATTCCACAAAATTTTTTAAAAGAAGGTAGTGATTTGCTAAAGAAAAGTAATAAAACATTATATGTGGCACAAGCGTACGATCAAAATGGCAAATTAGTTGAAGGTCAAGGAATACATGTAGATTGGGATAGATTAAAGTTTAACTGTACAACAAAAGAGAAAGAAATTAATTGCCTACCAACAAGAGGATTATTTATTAAAGTAGAGGATTTTTTAAATATTGGAAGATTTTATCCAAGAATGTTACCCCATTATCTTTCTGACTATGAATTTACTATAAGAGCCTATAATAAGGGCTACAAGCTATCTATAGGTAAAAATCTAAAACTTATAAAGAATACCAGCCCCGATTCAACAGGTTGGCATAATACAAATTCCATGAGAGATAAAAGTTATTTTAAGTTTTTAAAAAGATATTTTTCTAAAAAAAACTCTGGACAACCCATATACTTTATCAATTTTTTAATATTATCTTGCCCTACGAGGTATCTTTTAAAAAACATTTTACTTACTATTTGTAAAGTGATCATATCCAATATTAAAACTGTACTACTACACATTTTTTTAAATAAAAATTAGAGTTCAAGCAAAATCTCAACAGGGTGATATAGGTCCTTGTGATGGTTTTTCGTCAGTTTTAGGTGTCTTTCGAGTGCTTATCGAATCATTCTCCATGTTAAAATATCAGACCTTCTCCACTAAAACGCATTTTTCCATTTAATAAACCTTTTTATCGCTTAACTTTCCAAGAAAAAATGGTTGAATTGCTTTGACTATCAGTTTCAATATTTTCAGCGGTTATTTTCATTTTTTTATTGGTTGTTTTTTCATCTGAAAATGCAGTATTAAAAAAGCATACCGCCAAGTCTATGAGAAAAAGTAAAGTCTCCATAGATGAATTACTTTCACTTGATGATGAAGCTATAATCAATCTTAAACTCGGTAAAGATGTAAGAAATTGGCAAGTTAATTATGCTAAAAATGATTTAAAAACTTTTTACCATGACAAAGGATCATATACAAAAGTGAGTTATTGAATAGCATGAAACAACATCTCAATGCATCTTAGTCTATTTTAGTAGTTTTATTTTAGTAGTTTTATTTTAGTAATCTTATTTTAGTAGTAATCTTATTTTAGTAATCTTAATAAGACATTGCTCTTCGTTAAGTTCATCTTGCTCGGCATCTTTTAACCAATCATCCTCATTGTCGTTCACAAAACATAATTCATTAGCAAGAGTTTCTTTCTCGATGGTATCTGATTTTTTTTCAATGGCATTTTTCAAAACTTTAGAACTGTGGAAAAAAACCTTAATCCGATCGGTGTAGTTCAAATCCATTTCCTTCCTTTTCTTTTGCACTCGATTAATAAACTCACGAGCATATCCTTCATCGATTAAATCTTGGTTAAGTTCAACATCTAAAACGCAGGTAAGCTCTCCTTGATTGAATACAACATGTCCTTGTTTTTCTTGTCGGCGAATATCAAGATCGGCAAGCTCCAGGGTGATTGTCTCACCATCCAAATCAAAAGAAAAATTCCCTTTTTCATGAATATGAATAATTTCTTCATTGCTAAGGGAAGTCACCTTGTTGTTAATGGTCTTGATCTTGCTTCCGAATTTCTTACCCAGTTTTTGAAAATCTATTTTAGCTTGATACTCGACATAATCTATTTCATTAAATTCAAAGCTAATTTCTTTTACATTGATCTCTTCTTTAATGGTAGTTAAATTCTGATTCAATATTTCTTTTAACCAAGCATGATTTTTATTGACGATGATCATCTTTTTTAAAGGTTGGCGTATTTTTAAGCGATTTTTAAGACGAAGCGCCCTCGCCATAGAGAGAATTTTGTCCACCCACTCCATCTCTTTTTCTAATTCCTTATCAACTTGAATCACTCGATAAGTAGGGTAGTCTTCTAGATGAACGGAAATAGGATCTTTTTCTCTTCTTAAAACTTGATAAATTCTTTCACTAACAAATGGCATGAAAGGAGCGAGGATGACAGCAAAACTTTTGAGATTTTCATACAAGGTGAAGTAAGCTTGATTTTTATCCTCATCATTCTCGCTTTTCCAAAACCTTTTTCTTGACCTTCTCACATAGGTGTTGGTGAGCTTTTCAATGAAATCAATCATAGGAGGTACTGCATTGAAGAGCTGATAATTTTCCATCGAAAGATTAATCTTTTCAATTAAGGTTTGTCGATAGGAGAAAAGCCAACGATCCAAAGGATGATGGAGCTCTTCCACTTCAAAGTGAGAATTTTGATCCCACCCGTCAATATTCGCATAGGTAGTCAAAAAGGAAAACACATTCCACAATGGGATCATGATGGACTTGACAATTTCTTTTAGTCCATTTTCAGAAAACTTGAGTGTTTCAGCTTTAATAACACTGGAACTAATGAGATAGACCCTAAGAGCATCGGCTCCATAATTTGATAAAACATAGCTAGGGTCGGGATAATTCTTTAGTCTTTTGGACATTTTCTTTCCATCCTCTGCAAGAATGAGTCCGCTTACCATCACATTCTGAAAAGAAGGTTTATCAAAGAGAGCACTGGAGATAACCAATAAGGTATAAAACCACCCACGAGTTTGGTCAAGCCCCTCAGAAATAAAGTGAGCTGGAAAGTTTTTATCAAAGGCTTCCTTATTTTCAAAAGGATAATGATTCTGTCCATAAGGCATCGACCCAGATTCGAACCAACAATCAAGCACTTCTGGAATTCTGCGATATTTTTTACCCTCTTTTTCAATGACAATGACATCCATGTACTCCTTGTGGAGGTCTGTTACCTTCTTTCCAGAAGCCTTTTCTAAAGAAGCAATATCACCAAAACACAAAATATCACCGTTTTCAGACTCCCAAATGGGTAGAGGCGTTCCCCAAAAACGATTGCGACTGATAGCCCAGTCATGGACATTTTCAAGCCACTTGCCAAAGCGACCATTTTTAATATGTTTAGGTTCCCAATGGATTTTTTGATTATTCGAAATAATCGAATCTCGAAAATCGGTCACTTTAACAAACCATGTAGAGATTGCTTTATACATCAAGGGAGTATCCGTACGCCAGCAGAAAGGATAACTATGGTGGATGCTTTCATGTTTGAACAATTTTCCTTGCGATTTAAGTTTTTGTATGATTTTTTTTTCCGCTTCTTTAAAATTCATTCCAGCAATGAAGTCAATTTTAGAATTAAAAAATCCAGCATTGTCAATAGGATCGAAACAAGGTAATCCTGCTTGACTGCAAATTTCAAAATCCTCTACTCCATAAGCAGGAGCCATTTGAACAATTCCTACTCCCTCTTCTTCACTGACATAGTCCTTTCCATCAAGCACTCGAAAAGCATTTTTATGATCTTTAATTTCCTTACTAGCAAAGTTAAAAAGTGGTTGATACTCTATTCCAATAAGATCGCGACCCTTTAGTTTTTCAATAACTGTCACTTCTTCCTTTTTAAATAAACGAATTAAACTAGCATCGCTTAGATAATAAATTTCATCACCCCTTTTAACTTTGGCATACTCCAAGTCGCCACCCACTGCTAATGCGAGATTAGAAATCAGTGTCCAAGGGGTAGTTGTCCAAGCAAGGAAAAAAGTTTTATCATCTTCCACTAAAGGTAATTTAACGGTAATAGCATGATCTTGAGTTTCTTTATAGTTAAGATTTTCTTCAAAATTGGAGAGAATGGTTTCAGCTTTCCATGAATAAGGCATCACTTTAAAACCACGATAGATAAGACCTTTATCGTAGAGAGACTTAAAAACCCACCAAACACTTTCCATAAAACTGATATTCATGGTTTTATAATCGTTTTTAAAATCTACCCAACGCCCCATCCGACTGATCACCTTTTCCCATTCTTCTGCATAGCGAAGGACAATCTTGCGACAAGCATCATTAAAGCGATCCACACCGTATTCAATAATTTCTTTAGAAGTGCTAAATCCTAACTCTTTTTGAATTTCCATCTCCACAGGCAAACCGTGACAATCCCAGCCAAATCGCCTTTCAACATAATTTCCCTTCATGGCAAAATAACGAGGTACGATGTCTTTAATAGTGCTTGCTAAAATATGCCCATAATGCGGCAAACCAGTAGCGAATGGTGGTCCATCGTAAAAAACATAAGTCTTGTTTTTTTCTCTGATATTTTTTGATTGTTCAAAAACATTTTCTTTTTTCCAAAATTCAAGTATTTCTTCTTCTATTTTTGGAAATTCCACTTGATTATTTATTTTCTCAAACATTTTATTAATTTTAAAATGAGGTTAGGTAAAGAAGTGTGAAAATGCTATAATATACTGTGAGTTTATGCAGTGACTGCACTTGAAATTTTTATTTCCAAACCAAAATCAGAGAAGATACCCTTTTTTGAAAACCCTCTTCATGCTGGATTCCCTTCACCTGCTGAAAACCATACTCCATTAGAATTAGACCTTAACCACCACCTTATCAAAAACCCAGCTGCTACTTTTTTAGCTAGAGTAAGAGGTCATTCAATGCAAGATGTCAATATTCACGATGGTGATATTCTTGTGATTGACCGCTCTTTAAATTGGAAAATCAACGATATTATTGTTTGTATTCTCAATGGGGAATTCACTGTCAAAACCCTTTGTCGGGACAAACAGGGTTTCTTTTTACAATCTGAAGCTTCTGAAAGTCCTGAATACCCTAATAAAATTCGTATCCGTGAAGAAGACGATGCCATTGTATGGGGAGTGGTTACTTATGTCATCCATCAAGTAAGATCGTCTTACCAACGCCAATAAATTGTAGGTATAATCATTAATTGTTTCACATGATTTATGGTATTTAGTATATTTTAAATTATGAATCATCCGAAAAATTTATCTACGAAATATCCTTCAAGAAAAGCCTATGCCCTGGTGGACGGCAATAATTTTTTTGCTTCATGCGAGCAAGTTTTTAACCCCAAATTACTTCGAAAGCCGATAGGAATTCTCTCAAACAACGACGGATGCATCATTGCACGAAGTAATGAACTTAAGCAGTTGGGTGTGCCTATGGGAACACCTAAATTTAAATGGAATAAGTTTCTCCAATCTCATGATGTGCATCTGTTCTCTGCTAACTTTTCCCTCTACGGCGACATGAGCAAACGCATGATGATGACCTTAACTTCTATCGTTCCTAGCATTGAAATTTATTCGATTGACGAAGCCTTTCTAGATTGTTCTATGTTTCCCCCGTCTGAATTAAACAAGTTAGCCACAAGAATTTATCAAACTGTTCCACGTTGGATTGGAATACCTGTAGGTGTCGGTATTGCTCCAACAAAAGTACTCGCAAAGATTGCTAATCATTTTTCTAAAAAACACCAATGTCCATTTGTAATCTATTTCGATAAGATTGCCGACTCGCTTAGAGATCTACCCATTAAGGATGTATGGGGAATTGGTCGCAGACTCACCAAGAAGATGAATGCTTTAGGAATATTTACCGCTTATGATTTTTATAAAAAGGATGAAGAATGGGTGAAACAAAGGTTTTCGATCATTGAACAAAAACTTCATAAAGAGTTACAAGGCAAGCCAGTTCTACATCTGAACCGAACAGCCAACAAGAAAAGTATTTGTGTAAGCCGTTCTTTTGAAAAAAGTGTTTCTCACAAAGAATATCTTTTTGATGCTGTTAGTTGCTTTTTGAATTCAGCAGTGGAAAAACTTCGTCGACAAGAAAGTTTGGCAGGATTACTTCACATCTTCATCCAAACCAATCGATTCCATAAGGGAAATTACTACTCTGGAATGGATATCATCCGCTTAACACACACCAATGAGACCTCTCAGTTTCTCCAATCAGCGCGTCGATCATTTGATAAAATTTGGAAACCCCATTCTTATAAACGAGCTGGAGTGATCTTGAGTGATTTTATTTCTATAAAAGATTATCAACCTACCTTTTTCGAAAATGAAAACCTCAATCCTAAGCTACAGAAATTACAAAAAACCATCGATACCATTAATAAAACTCATGCCAAGCAACAGATGGGAATTGCTTCAGTAGGGCATTTAATGAAAAATTGGAAAATGAACCGAAAGAACCTTAGTCCAGCTTACACAACCAGGATAGAAGACCTAATAAAAATTCACATTTAAAAGGATAAATGTTCGAGAAATGAAGACTTACTCATCAACCTTTTCAAGAAAAAAATAATCAGCCTTTAAAAAGCTAATGACTTTAGTTATTTAAGTCTTTTCCGCTTAATATTGAGCATCTTTTTGAAGTATGGATTATTTCTACTCAATTGTTGATAAGTTCCTTCTCCAACAATTTTTCCATGTTCCAGCACATAAATTAAATCGCAATCCTTGACAGTTGTTAGACGGTGCGCAATGATGATTTGTGTAATTCGATATTTGAGATTATAAAGGCTGTTAACAAAATCATTTTCAGTTTTATTATCCAATGCCGAAGTCGCCTCATCCAATACCAAAATTTCCGGATTAGGATAAAGGGCACGCGCAATCCCAATCCGTTGCCTTTGCCCTCCCGACAAATTCACTCCCGATTCTCCAATATTGGTTTCCAACTGATCGGGCAACTCTTGTACAAATTCATCCAATTGTGCGAGCTTCAATACCTGCCAGACTCTTTGTTCATTGATTTCTTCAACTTTTATTCCCAAAGCGATATTCTTTTTGATCGAACCTTCTTGAAGAGCTATTTGTTGTGGAATGTAGCCAATTCTGTCCGACCAAATACCTTCTCCTTTTAAGGGTTTATTATCTATGACTAATTGACCAGTTGTTGGCTCCAGTAAACCAATTAGGATATCCACCAAAGTTGTTTTCCCAGAACCAGAACCACCTACCAAACCAATGGTATGGTTTTTTTTAATCGTGACATTGACATCTTTTAAAATTATTTTTTTATATCCAGGATAATGATAACTAACTTTTTTAAGTTGTAATTCCTTCTTGAATTTATGTTTCCTTATTTTAAAGTTGTTGTTTATTAATCCATCATCTTTGAGCTCTTTATAAATAATGTCAAGTTTTGGAAGACTATTAATGATTAAAGAAAAACCACTTGTAGATTGAATTATAATGGGAATGAATTTTAAAGCACTTAAAGCAAAGATGCCCAGCTTAGCAATGATTAATTGAGAATCGTCTTGCTTTGCGAAGAATAAAAACAAAATAGACAAGATTGAAGCAGTAATAAAAAAAGTTTCAATTAAAGATTTAGGAAGAGAATTTAAGAATACAACCTTCAAAGTAGTTCTATTAACTCGTTGGACTGCTTGGCTAAAATTCTGGACATAAAAAAAAATCTTATTTAAAACCTTAATTTCTTTAAAACCATTAATCCCTTGCAAAAGATACGAACTCCTTTGATCATAGTATTCAATAATTTTTTTTCCTAACTGGAAGGACTTTTTCTTCATAAACTTCATTAAAATAAGTGTGAAAAAAGACACTAAAATTAAGAAAAAAAGTGTTAATCCGAAATCCAATACAAAAAGAAAGACAATTAAACTCCAAAATGTTATTGATCCAGATAAGATAAAAATAAAAGACTGTAAGTAATTTGTGATGAAGAAAGGTAGGATTGAAAGTAAATTATTAATCATTTTTGTATTGGATCTTTGTATATATAGAATGTATGAACCTAGCATGTATTTTTTATAAATCCTACCAGCTAAATTAGAATGAACATCTTGAATGAATTTATTATTATACCAAATTAAACATAACACAAAAATATTCTTGATAACAAAAGCTACAATAACCAAGATCAATGAAATAAAAATAAAACTTCTACCTCTAATAGGAGAATAGTTTTCTAAAAAAAACTGAACAAAGGGAATCGCATTAATTTTTTCAGGTTCCAGCAAAGAGAAGATAACTGGAATAACCATGGCTAAGCTAAAAGCTTCCAAAAAAGCAATAAAGCTAGAAAAAAAGATAACAAGAAAAAAAGCCCTTTTTTGTTCAAGGATCTCATAAAATTTATGAAAATGAATTATTTTAAAAGGATTAATGCTTTTCACTAAAGAAAGATAATGGGAAAGTTAATTTTAACATGTTACAAGCATAGAAATTAATGATCGTACCCTCTTCCATTAGACAAATTCTTTAATCCACCTTAACCACTTCCTTCACCGTGAGCATCATTACCCTTTGGTTATCTATGGTTTTTTTCCTACTCTACTGAATGGATAGATGCTCTTTATGAGACAATGTCACTCTGTCAACATTAGAATAAATGTCTCAAGTCTTTCGGTTCGCACCTTAATGACTTAATTGGCTTTGGTTCTTTTCCCTTGATGGTTTTGATTAATTCGGCTAAAATGATAGATAATGACTCCCCCAGCAATAATCATCAAGAGACATAGGACCTGCCCCATGGTCATGAAACCCAAAACCGTCCCCAAATCGTCACCTGGATTTTTAAAAATAGCATCTGGTTGCCGAAAAAATTCAATCACAAATCGCACTAAGCCATAACCTAATAAAGAAACTCCTGCAATCACTCCAGTGACTACTCGTTTCCTTAAAAACCAAACGACCAAAAAAAGGAGAAAACCTTCACCAAAGGCTTCATAAAGTTGACTTGGGTGGCGAAGGGTTTCAAAAGGGATTTTGTTGTGGTCAAGGAAGTACATTCCCCAAGGGACGGTTGTCTCTCGACCATAAAGTTCTCCGTTCATGAAATTCCCTAACCTTCCAAATGTGTAGCCAAGAGGAGTAGCTATAGCATAGAGTTCAAACAATTTAATAAAAGAGTAACCCTTTTTCTTAGCATACAAATAATTAACTAATATTAATCCTAAAATGCCCCCATGAAAGGAGAGTCCAGAAATACCTACAAACCGCATTCCATTGTTAAACCGAAAGGGCAAAATGATCTCCAAAGGGTTTTGAATGTAATAAGCAAAATCATAAAAAAATACATAGCCTAAACGTCCTCCAATGACAATGCCCAACATCACATAGATGGATAATTGATCGACATCATTAAAATTCATATTAAAAGTCAATTCCTTTTTCCGAATGCGATACTTGATTAAAATAACCGTGATAATGAATCCTATCACATAACCCATACTATACCAGCGAAGAGCAAAACTCCCAATAGAGAAAATTTCAGGGCTGATTTTTGAAGGTATTGATTGATATGCAAAAAGCCAATTTGACATGAACTAAATCCTTTTACTCGGAAAGTTTTTTTCTCCTACTTATTATAAACATGTAAAGGAAAAAAAATACAGAAAAAATCCATAAAATTGGATAAAACAAATAAAAAAGGTAATGGAACACTTTAAAAAATTTTTTAATCTTATCCCATTTGGTTTGCTTGTGATACCTAATGACTTCATAGTTTTTCAAATGATCAAGGTTAAATAATAGAACACCGACATGAACCTTCTCCAGCAAAGTTTTGTATATCTTTCCTGCCTTTTTGTCAATAATGACCAACCCATGATGCGAACGGTTTAAAAGACTGACTGTCTCTTCCGGTTGATAAACACACATCTCCCGAGTAATAAAGCACATCAAGTTTTTATTCCCAAAATAAACTTTGAGGTTTTTATCTAAATTGTTTTTTTGAGTGTTATCTATCCCAAGGAAAATAATCGGGATATTTTTTTTAAAACAAAATTCGACAGCGTCAAAAAAAAGTTTCATAGAAAAGATTTTTTTCTGACCAGTATAGCTTTGATTGAAAAGTGAAAAACAATAAGCTAAAAAACTTCCTTCGGAATAAACGAAACTCATTTGCTGATAAAGTTTTTTCTTCAATGGCAGAAAAAAAAGAAAAAAAATTGTTCTTAATTTTATCGGGGTGAGTTTGAGGCATTCTTTCTTTTCCAGTTTTTGAAAAAGGTAATCTCTTATTTGGTCTTCAGATACAATAGAGAAATTAATTTTGGATAAACTGATGGATGGAATTGACTTCATGAAGGAAGTAACCCCTAAAGTTTATCATCACTGACCAAATTGTGGGTGTCTTTTTGGGGTTCAATGAAAGCGACAGACAAGTTATCCCTATTAATTAATTACATTGTATAATTTACTAATTTGCCGAAGTGGCGGAATTGGTAGACGCAGTGGACTCAAAATCCACCGAGGTTCGCTTCATAAGGGTTCGAGTCCCTTCTTCGGTATTCTTATTCTTCAATAAGTAATGATTTTACTAGGGTTTTTCGAAAAAAAAATAATTTGTTACAAAATAGTTGCAAAACACCTCCGTAAATTTGTTTACGGAATCAGTTATATTCGCTAGTGTAAGTGTTGAATAATGTTCAATCATTTTACTAGAGGAATGCCCTATCACTTCCAAATTAACTCCGTGTAATCCAGATTACCCGAGGACAAAACATATAATTGAAATGCTGGGAGTAAAGGTTTTCTCTGGACGAATGGGATGAGGGGAAATTTATGATTATTGAAAAACTGTATTTGTATTTTTTTTATGAATAATTTAAAAGTTACGATAATTATAAATATCTTATAATTATATTGTCGTATTTGTTTATTTAATTTTTGAAGACTTCCAATGGCTAATAAACCAAAAATAAAAATCAATCTTAAGCGTCTTGATTATGCGCTTGATTTATTTGATCTTACTCGAGGAAAAATTATTGATATTCTTAAAGAACAGAAAAAGTACCTTAAAATCACTGAAAAAAAACTTTTTAATTCTCCAGAAGGAATTAGTTTAAATGTACTTAAGTCTATTGATAAGATTCTTTGTCAAGGCTTACCTTTTTATACTGACCCAGCTCCTATTGAAACAAATCAATCAAATCATATTTTTTTTAGAAAAAAAAATTTAAGAGACAAAATCACTATTTTTGACAAAGGAGAGATTCAAAAAATCCAAAACCATATTAATTGGATTTCGGCTGTCAGTAAGCGAATAGGATTCACCATAAGACGTAAATTTAGAACCTATTCCATTAAAGAAAATCCCTCTATAATAGCCGATGAGATTAGAAAATCTTTATATCCACCAAAAGTTTTAAAAAAAGAAAGAGACTTTTTAAAGAGAATGATTAATATTTTAGGTGACAATGAAATCATGGTACATGAATTTATATTGCATCACTCTCATCAAGAAAGATCTAATTTAGAAGGTTTTTTTATAAAACCTAATAATATTATTTTGAAAAGAAATAAAAACTTTAAAAGAGAAATTTTTACCCTTGCTCATGAGCTGGGGCATTATTTACTTGGTGATGAAAATATCGATAATCATTTATTTACCAACATTACAAAAAAAGATAAAATTGAAAGTTGGTGTAACGATTTTGCCTTTTCTTTTTTGGTAGATGAAGAGAATAAAAAAAAGTTATTATCAATATCCCCCGAAGCTCTTAATCCTAATCACGAAACCATTAAAGAGATTTCTAATGAAATACATGTAAGCAAGTTAGCATTATTTTATTTTTTGTATAAGAAAGAAAAAGTAGATGCTGATACCTATAGTAATGTTCAAGACGGGATAGATAAGTATCTAGAAGAAGAAGAAAGAAAAACCAAACTATTGAGACAAGCAAATGGGAATAATAAATCTTTTGGTAGAGCATCAAAACCAATTTCTTCATCTTTAGAAGAAAGAATATATGCTAATGCTTATCTTGATGGGGTTTTAGATGAGCATCAGGTCCTAGCACATTTACATAAAGATAAAAAAACAGACATAGATGAAATTGTTTATGGATAGTTACTACATTGATTCTTCTTCTCTCCTGTCTTTCGTTAAATATTATCTTCCTTTCGATACGGAAGGTATCCTTAATAATTTTATGAAAAATCAATTTGAATTGCAAACATTTATTTTATTGAAAGCAGTTTTTGAAGAATCCAAAAGAATCCAAAAAGGAATAATAATCTCTAAAATGGATTTTCTGAAAGAAATTCATAGTAGAGATAATATTGAAATTCTTAACCCTGAAGATCACAAGAACCTGGAGAGATGGGAAAACAAAAAACTAAAAAAATCAATCACTTCTGTTGAAAAAATTGAATATTTAAAATATGCAGACTTTCAGCTAATAAAATATGCATTAATTGATAAAGAAACAATGGAAAAAGGCATCATTGTTACTGAGGAAACTACTAGTGAGGATAAGAAAGCATATAAGAAAATTCCTCTTATCTGTCAGCAAGAAAAAATAGAATGTATCAATATAGTTAATTTATTAAAGGACTTTAACCTTAAGGTAGATTTCCAAATTCCTTTTACATCTAAATCATCTTAGCTTCTGTAACTTAGTCATCAGTAGACAAAGAATAACATCGTGACGCTCTCCAATGAAAATCCTTGTAAATTATTAGATAGTTTTCCTTCTATTCCCTTTAATTCTTAGCGAAAAACCGAAATAATCATAAATTAGTTGAAACTCATTGCTTTAGCCATCATTTTATCTCTTATTTTACTTGCCCACCCCGGCAACACCAACTCATCAGGTGGCCATAATTGTAGCAGCAAATCAATAAGTAAAGGTCTCTGCATAGGATACCACTACCATAATAAAAAACAACCAATCAATAAAACCAATTCAAACAAATACAATCGCAAGGAATTTGGCGGTTGGATTGACGAAGACGGTGATTGTCAAAACACGAGACACGAAGAACTAATCGAGCATAGCAAAGTACCGGTCAAGTTCAAAACATACAAGCAATGTAAAGTAGTCAGTGGTGAGTGGTATGACCCTTATACAGATACGGCCTATTACAATGCGAGTGAAGTGGATATTGACCACATCATACCACTAAAAGAAGCATGGCTAAGTGGTGCTAAAAACTGGACTAGAAAACAAAAAAGAGTGTTTGCTAACGACCCCGACAACCTAATCCCTGTAGGGAAATCTATCAACCGTAAGAAAGGAGCAAAAGACCCCTCCCAGTGGTTACCTCCGAATAAAGATTATATTTGTGAGTATATTGAGCAGTGGGGAAGCATCAAAAATGAGTATCATCTCATACAAGATACAAGAGAACAAAAGAGAATAGAAGAATTAAAATGCTAAATTAGAAAAGAAGATTTAGAATGACCATACCTTACTCCAAACACAATGATCATGTTTGAAGTAAGAGTTACAAAAAATAAGCATTCCCTTTCCATAATACTTACCTCTCATTATTTAATATCAAATTAACGAGTTAATTCAATTTTATTTCTGAGAATATCCCGACTACTATCACACACATATTCATATTTCTTCACTTGAGTTGTGAAAAAAGTATATTCTAAGTCAATTTCTAAATTACAACTTTTTGCCTCAGCACTAGTAACAGTAAAGCTTGGTAAAGTGTGAGAAGACACACCATCAGTAATACGAGCAGCAACTTGAATCGATGGAGTTGCGGCGGTGTAATCAATACGTCCTTCTCCCTTATCCAATAGTTTCCCAATAAAATTGCCATTTACCGTAAGACTAATAAAACTACATCTTTGGCCCTTATATGTACAACTATAATATATAGGTATATAATAACCTGTATTTACTGTGACCACGGTATCCCCTCTTCCCGGGAAGGGACGAAACAGAGCAGAAACACCTTCATCACTTCCTTCTGAAATATTTCCCAGATCATTTAATTGTGTAACACTTGGATTAGTTTGATCAATAGAACTTACCTCTGAACAGGTAATAATTGAAACTACTAAGAACAGTGTTAATATTGATAATATATATTTATTCATGGTTCTAACCTTACTATTATCTTTCTATCTTACTAGGACAATCGTATGAATATTGATTGATATCCGTTCCAACCCACTCAAATGTTAACTCAATATTTAAAACACAACTATGAGCAGTTTCTCCCTCAACAAAAAAATTTGGCAAATGTTTATTGAGAAATGTATTATAAATGACATTAGCAGAAAAGTTCGGAGTTGGGGAATTATATATTATACTCCCCTTGCCATTCTTTAAATTTCCAATTACATGAGAACCAGTGGCTATAAAGAGTTCAAGCTCATCACAAGTTGAATTATGATAGGTACAATTAAAATTTATCTGTGTTGGATATACTCGATCTCCAGTAGATACAGGAATATTGTAATCCCCTCTTCCCGGGAAGGGACGAAACACAGCAGAAACACCTTCATCACTTCCTTCTGAAATATTTCCCAGATCATTTAATTGTGCAACACTTGGATTAGTTTGATCAATAGAACTTACCTCTGAACAGGTAATAATTGAAACTACTAAGAACAGTGTTAATATTGATAACATATATTTATTCATGGTTCTAACCTTTGATTTAGTTTAGAGATAATTATATCATGAATACCTTTAACTCTGGGTTCTAAGTGGTCAGCCCTAATCCGTAGACACTAAAGTCCAAAATACTTCTGAATCAGAATCGGTTTCAAAACCCGCAAGTTCCGGATAGTCTACTTCAATTACATTTCCCTCTGATGGTATTCCATATACTTGAAAAAAATGACCACCAGAAATAAAAAAACGAAACATTTGATAATGAGTGGTGGTACTACTGGGCAAACAAAAAGTAGAGGAACATATATGAACAGAAGCTCCTGATGATGATCTGTCCACCCGTTTAAAACCAATCTGTTCGGTAAACGGAGCGACTGGAACAGTAAATAGATATGGGTCATCGGGTTTATGGGTGATATTCATACCTTCTATAGCCGACCAGTAATGAAGTGGATTAGTAACACCATTGGTAATATTCGCTGTATTTAGTGTAGTAAACGGCAGAGAGAAATTACTCACACTGCTATATACATGTAGATAATAGTCCGTGTTAGGTGTCAATCCCGCAAAAAACCCCCCACTTTGTACATCACTAGCTGAAGGAATATTATAACCTTCCTGCCAAGCCAAATAAACATTATTGGTTTCATTGTTAATCGTCCGAGTGATATATCCATCATTGATTTGATTTGCCTGTGCGGTAGGAGTGCTATTTGAACTAATCGCAAAACCAACCACTCCCGCATTATTAATAGCTGATGCTTCGGCAATGATTTCATAAAATCCCACATGAACCAGACTGACTACCGGACTGACAAGATTAGCATCACCGCCAGAACTAGGGGATGTGCTACTATCCGAGCAAGAAGAGAGAATGAAAAAAATGATTGTTAGAAAAGAAAGAAAATATTTTGAAGAAAGAAATGATTGTAAAGATTGAAATTGGGTTAAGGTATTATACCCCCCCCCTCCCCCCAGGGTGGGTGAAACTCTATCTACTTTATCTTCTACCATTATTTCTTTATAATTTGTTTTTGGTTTTAGGTTATTCATGTTTTATTCTCTGTTATTAATTTGTTTTACAAGATTATACTATGAAATATCATCTTGTTTGGTGTTTGGTGGAAAGGTAAAATTAGTATTTTATTAGTTTTTTTGAAAAACCATCTTCTTTAAGTAGTTTAAACAAGCTTGACTTTTCCTTCCAAAGGAATCATATTCATTATCTTATAAAATAAGATTAAAGGAAATGGAACAACATTTAATAGGTAAATACACCATTTAACACATTAAGTGAACGTTTCGAAAAAAAAAGAAGCGATTAAATTGGTTTTAAGTAAATTTAGAACCAAGAGTCTATATACAAAAACAGATGAAGTATATAAAGATATTGTAGGTTACTATTTAAAATAAAAAATAAACTCTGATGTAGACCCTTCTTCAAACCTATGGCTACGATAGAGATCTCTGCTATCAATACTAAAGTAGTCTCCGACTAAAACTAGGATTTTTAAATAATTTTTACCACTATCCTGCACTGCTAAATTCGATAAATCTATATTAGCTTGTCTTGAATCATAGAGTTTGTCCTCCATAACTGTATAATCAGCATGTATCAACTCAGATTCTGTATACAATCCATCATAATCCATATCTACAAATACCTTACGAAATACCGTACAGTCACCAGGAGTCTCATCAAAACAACCCTGATGATCTTGAACATCTATATCAGTTTGTATTGAAAAACTCTCATTACGACTAATTTTATTAACTACAGAGTTAAAACTATAAGATACTTTTGGCTTGCGAGGAGAACCCAAAATATCTGCGAGTTCATACCATATATGAAAACTTTCTGTTTGAGAACCAATGGAAAATTGAATTTGTGTGGTCTTTATATTACTTGGATCAGCCATTTGATACAAACCATTCGTTGTATACTTACCACTTGTTGAAAAATCCAAAACAAACTCTGACGTAGATCCTGAGTCAAATTTATGGTCAGTATATAAGCCTTGTCGATCACCGTCGCTTTGCTTACTTCTTACTATAACCAGCATTTTGAATGTATCCATAATTTCAAAATCTGAATCATTTATTGATCTAAAATCTGAAAAAGACATTCTCGCTTGGTCTTCCACTTCTTGTAGTGAATCAAGATCGGCAGAATGCACTAACTCACTTGAGTGATAATACCCATCATAATTAGCGTCTACAAACACTTCATGTATCACAGGACAACCACTACTGTGAGCAACATAACAACGAATATCACGAGAAATTTGCGTAGTAATTGTAAAATCATTATAACGAACTACTTTAGAATTTACACGATCAAAAGTATATGAAATATTGTCAGAAAAATCATTGTGATCACTAGTTCGATCTCCTACTGCATAGCTTTCTCCGTAATTATTAC